CAACATTATATTTTTACATTCCCCCTCCCCCCAAAAAAGATGATTTCCAAATAGCGAGTTTTGCAACTGAAATCAAGTTCATGAGGTATTTATCCTTCTATATTATCCTTCTTATGTTCATAAGCAGACTACACATGAACTTCCTGGATCCTTTTTAAGTTGGCCTAAAATGTCACACCTGACTAAGAATTTTTGAAAATGTGTAACATGTTATATCTGTTCCATAATTTCAATAGAGATGAAAGCTACTTTACTGTATTTCTTCCTTTTCCACCTTTGGGTTCTGTTCTATGTGGATGTGACCAGAAATGGCCATCACGAATTCTTAAAAGCAGAACTTACAAACTTTCAAATGATTTTCTAAAACATTTAAAATCCTGTAGCATATTGCCTTTGGCTTAATTTTTAAATTGTTATTATGAAGGTATATACAGAGAGGGGTTAAGTTACCTAAGATAAGACTACATTTCTTTTTGGATAATTCACTCCTTCTCTTGCTCTCTCCAAGTCCTTCCCCTCTCCCCCCCACCTCCATCCCCAAGTTGTATAGTTCATTTTCAACATAATGTCGCCCTTTGGCTAAAATTTGCTACAGTAAATTGTGTTCTGGAAGCTACTGGAGTACACTTAATAAAGACATCAGGTACAAATCCTTCCCATGCATAGCATTAATATAAAGAAAGCCCAAGGAGGAAGGCACATCGATTTGGAATTTCTCAGTAGAATTGTAATATTTGGAAACTTGTGTTAATTCAATCCATATGTAATTTCAAAGCAGCCTCTGGTGTGCTCTCATATTTAAAGGAAGGACTTAAAGAAATATGCCAAAATAAGCCAAGGCTCTAATAACTTCATCTTTAGGAATTGAAGTAGCAGAGATCAGAAAAAATAATTTTCATCTTTATAGCCACTCCTCTGTAGGCTTCTCCCGAGTCAGATACATTTAGTAGACACTCAGGTTGGGTTCTTTTATATTCTTTTTAAAAATAGTTGCAGCTGGGCACTGGTGGCTCATGCCTGTCATCCTAGCTACTTAGAAGGCTGAGATCTGAGGATGGCAGTTCAAAGCCAGCACAGGCAGAAAAGTTCATGAGATTCTTATCTCCAACTAACCACCAAAAAACTAGAAATGAAGCTGTTGCTCAAAGTTGTAGAGCTCTAGCCTTGAGCTTTTAGAAAAGCTCAGGGATAGCACTCAGATCCTGAGTTCAAGCTCCAAGACTGACAATAACTAACTAACGAACGAACGAACTAACTAACTAACGTAATAAATTTAAAAACTGCAAAACATGTACATTACTTTTTTTTTTTTGGTACTAGTCCTGGGCCTTGAACTCAGTGCCTAGGATCTATCACTGAACTTTTTTTGCTCTAGACTAGCTTCTGGCTTTTTGGTGGTTAATTGGAGATGGAAGACTGCCTGGTTGGCTTTGAACCGTGATCCTCAGATCTCAGCCTCCTGAATAGCTAGAATTACAGGTGTGAGCCACCAGCGCTTGGCTGTACTTTTTAAAAATCTGTTTTCTGTATTGGAAATAACAGAGAAGTCATTCTCGAACTAACAGCAATTTCTGGACTATTAAAGATTAGAAGCTGTTCTTCCAAGTTTCTCTATTAGCAATAAAACAACCAAAACAAAACCAAACCCTATGTAAACTGAAAAGACCCATCACTATCCATGTCCCTGAATCTTGCAGAATCTGAACCAAGGGCAAACTTTTGACCAAATATATGTGAAAAAAATTGTCTTCCCAAGACAGGAAGCTGGTTATTTTTTTTTCCTTACTAAACTTCATTTTTCCATGATGTATACCAAGTAGTCCATCATCAACAAACCCATTAATAGAATCACACACTATTTTAAATCCATAAACATGAGACTCTGAGTTTAGAAGTAAAACCTTCATGGAAATGATACTGGATGAACTGTTACTTGTGACCCCAGTGACCTGCTTGTTTGTACCAGATATTTGCATGAGTATGACTGTTTAAGGCTACACATTTTTAATAAAGGAACAGCAGAGTATCTAGAGACATGAGAGTTGACCTAGATTTGCCTTTATGGTCTCCAAGAATGAGTCCGTCGACACAGAGAGATGTAAAAGGGCAAAGGTTTATTGAAGAAAAAGAACTCCTGCTAAATAGGAGGGCCCAAGCAAGGGTACCACTTGGGGTGTGGTGTGCAGGAGAGAGCTACGTGACCTCAAGATCATTTGCAGCCTGCGACCAGAGCAGCCATCAGTCCCAACGAGACTCTATGAGTTCTCCATGTGTTCTTTAGCCCCTCTGACTGGGTGCCTGACCTGGTGCTCATCTCCGGGGTTCAATTAGTACATTGCTCACTTGCAAGTCTTCCAGGGACTATAGGCCATGAGGTGATATCCAGTGTCCTGCATGTGTGACTCAGAGCCATGGTGATGGGGCCTGCACACAGGACTGCTCAGGGCCATGGTATGTGATGTCCAGGGGTCTGCACTCAGGACTGCTTGGGGCTATGTATGAGATGTCCAGGGGTCTGCACACAGGACTGCCCCGGACCATGGTGTGAGATGTCCAGGGGTCTGCACACAGGACTGCTCCGGACCATGGTGTGAGATGTCCAGGGGTCTGTGCACAGGACTGCTCAGGGCCATGGTGTGAGTCTGCACTCAGGACTGCTCGGGGCCATGGTATGAGATGTCCAGGGGTCTGGGCACAGGCCTGTTCATGGGGGATGCAGAAACTGTATGGGAGGGGGCTTTGCTCTGACTCCCATATCAGGCTCCTTCTCTCCTGTTAAGACTAAAGATGTAGTACACAGTTATGTCAAATCTTAACTTCCCAGTTAAGAATTTTTTTCCATAGTGCAGAAATACACAATACACTACAAACCTGGATTTAAGTCTCCCCTGTGAAGAGACAGCTGTTGCTGATATACCAACTTTCACCAACAGATTCTAAAGTCTGATTTCTTATTTGCCTTCTTGATTTATTCCACTGAATTGCAGATTCCCTATTTTCCAGACACTGTGTAGATACTGTACATTGCATTCATAAATTGAGCCAAATGATTGTGATGTTGATTTAAGGCTTATGCTTTAAAAAATGATCACAGAATACACATAGCCATACAAAGAGCATGGATCACATTCTACTCAACACCTGTGTTCCCATCACCCAGCTTCAGATATGAAACACTGATCCGTTTCAAGTTCCACAACTTTTCTTCTGAGGAAATTTCGCAGTATTTGGTATTTCTCATTTCCATTCCATTCTCCACAAACACAACGTAGGCTATTTTCCATGCTTTAAACTTTAGGGAAGTTAGGTAGGCCTCTCCATCTAGTTAGAAGACGGAAGCCTGGACCAACTGCAGCATGGCAGCAGCAATGACTCGGGAGCACAAATGCCCTTGATGGCTGCAGCCTGGTGCCTGCCCCCTTAGCCTTCAACCAAACAGGAACCATTTTCCTACTTATGCAATCTCGAGACTCAGCAGTGCATAGCCACTATGGACCAATTGGATCAGAAGCTTGACCCTGGCAGGGCCAAGGGGCCCTATATATAATGGGCCCCATCTACTCTTGGCACAAGGAGACCATTTCATTGTTTCGTTTGCTCTGTTTGGTTTAAAACTTTCCTGACTTTTTAATTTTTATTTTTGTCGGTCATGGGGTATGAGTTCTGGGCCTGCATGCTGTCCCTCAGCTCTTCAGCTCCAGGCTAGCTAGTGCTCTACCACTTGAGCCACAGAGCCACTTCTGGGTTTTTCTGCTTATATGGTACTGAGGAATCAAACCCAGGGCCTCATGCACGCAAGGCAAGCACTCTCCCACTGAGCAACCTCCCCAGCCCACTTTCCTGCCTTTGAATTAAACAACCCCGACCCTAGATGGCATCAATATTTTAAGTATTCTAAATGTTTGTGCCTCCTTGCTTTCAGTTCAATCTTTGTTCATGTTTCTAATTGCCTTAGTATTCTGTTGTATGACTATTCTCATACACCTAATAAGCCCATTTCTTCTTGAGGGATATTAGCATATTTTTTTTTTCTTTCCAGGCTCTTCAACAGTATGAGATAGATTGCTGGTTTTCAAAGTGTTTGTACCAGTCCATGTTCCTGTGGCAGACTTCCAGGTCCCCTGCTTCACTACTGTGGGACCACAAGCTCTACTGAGTCAGGATATGTTTCTCTAATTGCTGGTCAAGTCAAGGCCCTGTCTTGCTTGGATCCATATTTTCACATTCATTTCTAGGACTTAGGTTCTATTAGGTACTAGTAAATTATTGCTGGTAATCACAGGATTAGACTGCTGAGGTGTGAGTGTGGCAACACTCTAAGGCTTGTTATAGTCTTAATTAGGAGTTATTTACTGCCCGTCTTTCTGGGAATTTTCAAGTATCTGTAGTGAGCAAGTTTACACACAGGTGTAGAACACAACCCAACCCAATGAGTTCAATCTTTTTTTTTTTTTTTTTCTTTCCGAGGGCCTGGGCATTGTCCCTAAGTTCTTTTGCTCAGGGATAGCACTCTACTACTTTGAGCCACAGAGACACTTCCAGTTTTCTGGTGAGTAATTGTAGGTAAGAGTCTCATGGGCTTTCCTGTCCAGGCTGGCTCTGAACCATGATTCTCAGATATCTGCCTCCTGAGGAGCTAGGATTACAGGTGTGAACCACTGGCACCTGGCTTTCATTTTTAACTAGGTTTATTTTTGAACTGAAAAGTTTGCTGGAAACCTGAATTTAGAAACAAGTAAAAACATGAATATATTTAACATTTTAGAGGAAAAAAACAAGTATATTGCTCTAGGCTTAAATTTGCCTTACATTTACAAATTAATTAAGCCTTCCCATGTATCATATAAAATAACTCGTAGTACTTTATTTTCCTTTTGACCACAGATGGAGGTATGAATTAAACTGAGAAGAATACGTGTTTATATTACCACAAATCTGATCAGTGCACTTCTGACTTCAGAGGCCGGCCTTCAAAAATAAAAGACTTGCATTTTGCATGATGAAATTATCCATATATATTGTTCATGTTGTTGTATCAAACTGATGCACATAGGAAGGCACTTGACAACAACTCCACAGTGGGGAGATTGTCACAAGGGAGATGAAGGGACAAACACGAAAAAAGGTAAATGTTTACTTTTCAAAATGCAGCACGCATTTCCAGCCGAAACTGGTTTTCTACCCATGCTGGACAAATTGTACTCACATGATTAAAGGTTTCTAGAACTGCAGCTCTTCAACTCCAACGGAAGTATTTCAAGCATTGTACCTATTAACGAATTTCTAAAATACTCTCAAGTCAAAAGCCCTATAGAGAATGAAATCTAGAAAGGGGTTTAGTAGGATGCATATGCATGTTTCCCAGAGTGCAGCCCACTCTTCTTTTGATAATGTTCATAGAACTGTCTCAAGGATTCAGAGATTCTTGGCGTCACAGTCCTCAAGGCCTGAGTGAAATGTTTCTTCATGATGCACTTGACTTTGAAGTCTTCTTCCAGAGCCAGAAGAGCTGCCTCTCTGCAGACAGCAATAATCTGAAAAAAAAAAAAGTAAATTAGAGGAGGGAGAAGGACTTTGAAGAGCCGATACATTCCAAATCTTCATGCGCAGCATAACTTCTATGCCATAACACATTTCTCTGTGGGAGTTATTGCACTCAAGGTTTGTTTTGAACTGATGCCTGGTGCATGGTAGGCAAGCACATTTCCCACTGAGGAATATTCCCAGCCCTCACTCAAGTTTTCAGAAGGAGAAGTAGCCATATAAAGGGCTTTATTCTTTCCTTCATTCCAACCCAACATCCCAAGGACTCAGTGCAGGAATAAAGGTATAGAAGAGGTGGTATTTGCTCTAGCTAAAGGTGGAACAGTATATGCCCCATACACTGTGACACAGGATGGTAAATGTGGGAGTGCTGCGTATGCGTGCATGTGTGTGTGTGTGTGTGTGTGTGTGTGTGTGTGTGTAGGGGGGAGAGGCGGGGGAAGGGGACGGCGGAGACCCAGGGCCTGCTCAACAGCACGCCTGGTCCAAATGACAACAGCAACAACCACCAAACCAGTAATAGCCAGGTGGCGATGGCTTATGCTGCAATCCTTGTCATTTGGGAGAATGGGAAGATGTCAGTTCAAGGTTAGCCAGGGCAAAAACTTTTGAAAGATCCCATTTCAGTCAATAGAAAGCTGAGTGTAGTGCTGTATACCTGTCATCTCAGCTATGTAAATAGGGATCAGCCTAAGCTTAACTGAGGCTCTATTAGAAAAATAGCTAAAGTAAAAAGCAGTTAGACTGGTAGAGCCTTCAGCTTGCTAGACAAGCAGTAAACCCTAAACTGAAACTCCAGTACAGCCACCAAAAAAAAAAGGGGGGGGGACAGTAATATGTACTAATATGTATTAGAGGACTGAAATGGAAGCTTTATTTAAAAAACAAAAAGCATGCAAATGCTTCACTTGATAAAAGAAACCTGAGATTACTAATCGCCAAGGAATTTTTCCTTTCTCTAGTAACCTTTGGAAAGATGGTCTTTTCAGATAAAATGGCCAGCATGTCTTTCCATTTGGGAACAATACTACAGAAAGTAAAAGAAAGGCCTTCAATTTAATCTTGGACTTTTCACATTACTATCTCTACAGTCTGTGAAGGGCCCCCATGAAATGAGTTTGGGTTTATGTGTATGGGTTTGTCCAAGTGATTTACCTGACGCTTTTAGGACATATAGATTGACTTGTACATTTTCTACTAAGTACATGGGGAGCACAGAGCCCTTCGCCCTGGAGACGCGGGGAACACAGAGCCACCATCACCCTAAGGTATACAGAGAGCACAGAGCCCACCACTCTGGCTACACAGGGAGTACAGGGTGCAGGGGTGCATCACCCTGGAGGACACAGACAGTACAGGGGGAATCACCCTAGAGGAATCACATCCCAAAGCAGAAGTGTGAGAATATGTGACTACTGAGAGAATTCAGCTGAATTTTTCCCCATGAGGCCAGAGTAGAATATCACAGCATATATCAAAAGCAGAATTTGAATCACAGACTATCTGGAATGTTAAGTTAACCTGTTTAGAAAGAAAACCCTTGAAAACTTGAGCTCTTTAAATTTTTTAGCAAAAAGGATTTTGGAAACCTTCCATTAATCCCTTCACCATTTTTTCCTCCCCCCACCCTCATACGCTACAGACTAGATCATTTAAATGAGTTATTAGCCAACTAGCAGCAGGATTGCTTTTGTCATTAGGCTGACGAAAATGTTTTGGCTGGTCCTGTAAAATTGAATGTATATTCTTACATAGTTTTGATTAAAAATTGGATATCCAGGCTTTAAGAAGATACATATGCCTTGTTGCAAAGGTGAAATTATGACCTGTTTGTGGCAAAGAGAAACTGAGACAAAAGACTAGCAGAAAGGCATAGAATCTCCAGAGAGAGCTAGATTAGGACTGGGGTTCTGTTTCAGTGGCCAGGGAACTAATTTACTTGGTCCCAACATGTCCCAAACTCTATTCCTTCAACAGTCATAATGGATCTCGTTATCAGACATCTGACAAAAAAAAGTGTGCATAAATACATATACATATATATGATATATATCATACATATGAAATTGAGATGATTCCTAAGGGACTGAAAACTGCTAATGAAAGTATTTTTATGAAGTTGTTATGAAAACATTATGTTAATGAATATAAATTAAGTTCAAGCAGGTTGGGGGGAAGAGTGAGCAGTGAGACAAAGGGGTAGAGGAGGTGCACTTTCATGCTATGCTTGCCCTCTGTTAAAGCAGTGCCCTCATTACAATATAGCAATAACTGGATTACGGGAGACAACTGCACTTGTGAGCTGTGGGGAGACACAACTCCCTGGGATGAGAAAGCCCTTGACCACTGGACCTTGGGAAATCTAATTACTTCACTTTTAAATGCAAAAGGGCAAAAGAGGCAATTGTGCAGAATTTGAATGCCATGAAGAATAAGAACAATGTCTTACTTCACTGTGGGGGAAAAACAATAAAAGAAAACTCTTATATATAGCCTATTATCCCCCCCACCCCCCACCCCCCCATCTACCAGACAAGAAGAGTTTCAACAGGTGGCTCACACATAGCAAAAGGCAGACTGAGAAAATTAAAACCAACATGGTTTTAATTTTGAGGCAACAAAAGTTCTGGGGAAAAAAAAAAAGGAAGACAGGATTAAAGAATGATAGTCAAAGCAAAGACTGCTGACCAAAAAACTAATCAACAGGGAGCAAAAGCTGAAAATGTCCAGCAGGACTCTGGGTGTTTGTCATCAATGTAGACATGTGTAGCTCTTTTCTTGTTCTCTTCCATCTCACAACAGTGCTTGTTTCTTTTCTGATGCAAGGAGACTGAGAACCTGGGCGATTTCTTCATTTACATTTAAGCACAAAGGCTGGGTGGCAGCCACACTTGCTTGGTACTGGAACATCCATGATAAGAATAATGAGCCAGGTGTTGGTGGCTCATGCAGTTGACTCAGGAAGTTGAGAGCTGAAGAATGCAGTTCAAAGCCAGTGTGAGCAGTAAAGTCCACGTTCCTTGTCTCCAATGAACCACCAAAGCCGAAAGTGAAGCTGTGGTTCAAGTAATAGAGCACTAACCTTGAGTAAAAACAGCCCAGGGACAGTGGTCCTTGAGTTCAAGGCATGGGATTGGCATGGGAAGGTAACACAATTACACAACAAACTCAACTGCTTGATTCGCTGTCACCCTCCTGCCTTCCTATCAGGGACAGGGACCAACACTCCAATCTGTGGAAGTAAAATAAATGAATTCAGCAATTTAAAATGTGCTAGGGAGTTGGAGAAGTAGCTCCTGACAGCTGGAGTCAAATAACTGGCCTAGCTAGCAGGATACGGGGCTGTGTTCTTAAGAAAACGTCGACTGCATCTTAATTTCTGAATGCCAAGACCGAGCTAGACAACAATCTCTAGCACGAGCGAGCGGAGAGCGGCCTGGCTCAGGCTGGCTGGCGGAGCAGGCACCCTGGAGCTTGCAGAGCAGCCTCTTGTCTCTTTGAGGCCAGCTGCACGCAAGCGGAATCTACACTTTGGCAGAGACTGTCTGTGGGCTGCCCCTGCTGCCTGGGAGGAAGAAAGCTCGCCTTTCCAGCCAGGCCTAATCTCAGCTTCTTTGTATTTCAAGGGTACTAAATAGCTTTAAAGAATCCACCAAAAGAAATGGGCTGCAGTGCTTTTTAAAATAAAATCTTAGGTATTTTCAAGAAAGTGGTTTTGTGAAAAGCATCTTTCTGTCTGGAACACCTGTGACCTGTTGAGCTTAATTGGGCTGCAGCTGGCGCTGATTGTGGGCGAGCCGCTGGAGGGCCCAGGCGAGGACATTGTGTCGGCCTGGCTCACCCGCCCCCTCGCTTTTCTTTTCAGCTTTCACAGGCCTGTGACCTTCTCCCCCTGTGTGTCTGAGGGATTAGGGATCCAGTAGAGAGTGGCGTCCTGCTGTTCTCAAACAGTATGCACTGGAGGTGCTTCGAGGAGAAGGCTACCTGGGACGGAGCGCCCATTGGGGTGCTGAGGGAGGGTGCATTCTCCTGGCCCACTGAGAGGCACTGAAAGAGCTTCTTGAAAGATGGGGCTGTAGGACGCAGCGGGCTCCCAGCTGAAGAGCAGCAGATGGAATCAGACAACTGTCACAGGCACACACAACACAGGGTGGGTGCAGTGAACTTTCAAGGAAGCAGCTCACAGAGCAATGCAGGGTGGCTGGGAAGGGATGTGGGGGTGGGGGCAGAGAACAGCCATTAAAAGATCACTTCACTGAAAGACTTACAAGGGGATGAGGTGAGGATTTTGCAGCACAGATTTCAGATATAAGAACTGCCTAATTGTGGCTCTTGGGCTCAGTTTCCTCCTTCTCTAAAAAAACTTCACCATAATTAACCATACTGTTAATTAAGTCATATGATCTAGAATGCCCTACACAGGGTTGAGCCAAATGAAAAATGTCTGTAAAGGCACATTCAAACCTACTGAGAGAGAAAGGAGGAAAACAGAATGGGTTGCTTAATTCTGTTGATTATTTTGATGAGATCTGAGGATCACAATCAGAAGCCAGCTCAGGCAGGAAAGTCCAGCGAACCACTCACTAAAAGCCAGAAGTGAGCTGCGGCTCAAGTGGCAGAGCTAACACTTTGAGCAAATAAAAGCTAAGATTCTGAGTTCAAGCCTTAGTACTGGCCTGCAGACACACGCATGGTTACTGTCACAAAGAAGCTTCTAGTTGTTTTTGTTTTTTAAAAATGTGCTTATGAATCCATTATTTTGTAGAGCTTTTGGGCTGGACAGGTCTGGAGCATGTAAATGTTCCAGTCTATCATTATGACTTATGTTCACTTGCAGGATTTCAAACACTTCTGTCTTCCAGTGGACCCAGACAAGGACCACTGGACTAAAACAAAGTTTTCAATTTTAAAAAGAATCCAGCAGCTGGTGTGGAAGTGGAGAAAACAGGAGCCACTGTGGGTAGGGCAAGGCAGGGACAGAAAGCAGGTG